GAAAAAAAATGAATTGAACTCTAGTGCGCCTCCAGTGCGATTATATGTTATATTTCAGTGTGCGTTGAACGGCAACATACTTGCAATATATTTTAGGTGACGTACTTCCACTAATTTCTTACTCACAATTACCATAGACAAAATAATAATTGTAAACATAATCAAGTATCAGGCATAATTAAGTATCCTAGTGTGTGAATGTCACAACTATATATAATTTCATCGCCATACAAACAAAGGACCCGAGTCGCATTGCTGTAAGACCCACACACCTGCGGCAGTTGTATCGGAACACCTGCCACGCATCTGCCTCCGCGACCGCACTCTTAGCTTCTCACCGTCACGTCATTCTGCGATACACCCTTGTTAAGATGTTCACGTAGATATATGCGCACGTGAATACTAGGTATACATAGACGCATTCACTTAAATCGGTCATATGCACTCAGGCACGTACACGGGGTACACACACAAACATACAAACGGCAAAAAAAAACCGCACTCACACAAAGTGAGACACATACATACAATGACACACACACACACACACACACACATACACGCACATACATACACACACAAACATACAAACGGCCAAAAATACGCACACACACAAAGTGAGACACATACATACAATGACACACACACACACACACACACACACACACACACACACACACGCACATACATACACACACACACACATCCAAAAGCGGAAAAGCTAATGCTCTTTCCACTTCCACCACGAACGAGTGTACAGCGCTAACTTTGAGCCTCCATTTTCCCCGCGCCAAGATACTCCTCAGAGGCCGTAATCTTGCCTATAAACTCTCCTGTGAGGCGTAGAGAGAAATATTTTGGTCTCATCCGATATTCATAGCATGCTCTGTGTGCCTTTCGATATTATTTGATGAATATTTTAGCCATAGAGTGTGTAGGAAAGACGAGACTAATGCTACTCCCTCCCCTCCCCTACCCCCCTAACCCGGCCTCCCAAACACCGGATATTCGTTGTTTTTAAAACATTCCTCGCACGCACACACTTATCATTATCATTTTATCATCATTACTGATCCGCTACCACACCATAAGGAACCAAAGAAGAACAATACGAAATAGCGAAAAATCTTTATTTTGACAAACCATAGTAAAACAAGTGAGCAGAAGCGAGCGCACAAGACCCAGCTCGCGCCCACTAAGGTTAAGAGAGACAATCCCTCTCGCAACCTCTGTTATTATTCTCAAGTTAATCCTAGGATAGAAAGATTAGCTAATCATGGAATGGGAAGGACAAAAAAGAAGAAAAAAATTGAAACGCAAGACTACCGTACTTCTATTAATGTTATTATATTTTTTTTTTGATTAGGCGCGTTGTCTGGTTGGTGGCTGTGTGACTTAACCGAAGTAAAAGGGAAAATAATCTCACTTAAATGTAACGAAAAATGTTATGGTGGCGCCCTCTGCGTGGAGACTGCGGCGATTTTGGGCGGAAGTTCTATCTTAAAGGAGGGAAATTAACCCAACTCGGAAATTAAGGAAGAAACAAAACAAAAAGCTAACATTGATATAATAATGAACTGCCTTTCGAACTCTGTTTTTTTTTTGTTAACTGATATGTTAACTGCCATAATCACCAACGAGTTTTTTTTTAATTGAATTATTTTTAATTATTTTCTAATCAACAATGAGAAAAAAGGAACCTTGCAGATTCTTCAGACGGATGATTTTTTTTTTCTTTTTACAACGTCCATTTTTTTTTCCTTTTTCTCTTGGATTATTGTAAAAAGGAGAACAAAAATTATATCACACTTCTGCGTCAACTGCTTTTTTTTTCTCTTCAGTTTTGTAAACCGAAGTCTCTAAGCGTCGCGGTAAATGTTTCAGGATTTCACTTCCACAATAAGTCAAAACGTTTCCATTTCAAACGTTTCTTCTGGAATCCCCGTCATTTCCGCCTTTTCCTCTCTCGTCACTTTTATCTCGTTCAAACCACATTCTCTAGTCATTTCCTCTGTATCCACACCCTTTATCACAATTGCTATCCCCGTCACTTTATCATCATTTCTTTTCCTTTTATCCTGATCTTTTTTTTTTGAGTCCTCGCTCGTTTCCCCAATCCGGAAAAATATAAACAGAACAGGAAAAAAATCTCGTCTTCTAGTCCTTCATATCCTGTCCCCTCCACGCGATAAAAAAAACAGTTCCAGGGGTCAATTTACACTTCTTTCCGCACAAGCACTTTCTTTCTCTCATTTCTTTTTTTAAAGATCAATCTCCTCCATCCTTATCCTTCCCTCTTTCCACTTCTCTTTTGTCGTAATTTCTTATTTTCTCACCGTATTTTCCTCTCCAATCTTCCTTCGCGTCAGGGAATCAAACTCGCCTCCAGATGCACGGGGCGAGGGAGACAGAGGGGGGGGGGAGGGATAATTTTTCCTTCTCTCTTGTTCTAAACCGGATGGAATAATGACGATGGAAAAAAAAAACCAAGTCGAATCGT